TTAAGTTAATTTAGGTGTTAATAAACTGTTTCAGAGGAACGATCACAGCGCTCTGTATCATCAGCGCTGTCTCTCTCTCCCTGCCAGCTCCCAGATCAGCTTCTCTGATTGGTTGATGGGGTGCGTAGCGCAGCAAAAGTTCAATTTTTCCATCTCGAGCAGCAGCGCGTTTGCGGCGCGTCAGATGCTTAAACGCTCCCAACGCGCTGCTTCAGCTGCTCAGATGCGCTGCGCCTGCTGCTCACAACGCGCTGCGGGACCTTTTGCTGCTCCTTGACGTGCATCAACCATTGACTTTGCATGTAAACTCGCTGCTTCTGCTGCGTCCGGTGTGAACGTAACATTACACTGTATAAAAGAGGGATTTATGCCATTGTAGGTAAGTCATTACCTGGATTTCTGTGAGTTTCATAATCAATGCATTATGACAAATCAGGCTTTTATAAATATGTTGGCAGATACATATCTCTATATATCCATCCGTGTATCATTTTTCTTGTTTGCTGTATCAGGATAAATGAGAAGGGGAAATGTTATACTGAAGCTGCACCGATGAGGTAAATCACCAGGTAAAAAAAAAAACACCTAAGAAGATGGCTGTAATGTTTCTGTGAAATAGAACATTGATCATGTAGAGCAAATAGTCTGTAGGAGACTGAAGGTGAAATGCTACGAGTTTTCATTTAAGTAGAAAAAAAAAGTTAAGGTATTTATCTACATTTATGGCTGCGGTTGAGGACTTTCACCATTTTCACTACCGCTGATCCTGATTGCCATCGTTGTGGATTGGTTAAACTGGATAGGCTGGACGTAATCCTGTTGAGCTCGCTTCGTGCATCAGGCCTTAGGTTCCATAAAATGTCAACATTTTGCTCAGTTTATATTTATTATAAAATTTATAAATATGTATGTGTGTGTGCAAAGGTCAAATAGATCTTGTAGCTCCAGATAAAGTTAGGTCAAGAGAAAACCTCTCTATAGACTGTGAAGAGTGCTGACCTCTGGTATAGAGCAGATACTTAAACCATGATCCAATTGGCGTTTTAACATCATTGTTGACTTTCGTACATTAAATCCATTTAAGAGAATTTCACAATTTTCACAATTTCACATTTGAATTTTTTTTTTCATGTAGCATCACCATGATGTGCAGAAGAAATAGAGTGTGGACTGAAGCAAACAGGGAGTCAGACATTCTCCCCCTGATGATTTTTATTTCTTAAACCATACATTGAACTTTATTTTGAAATGGTGCACAACAATATTGGTTCAACACTAAGTGCTTAAAAGGGTTCTGCTACTTGATTTTTCCAGCACAGATGTTACTAAGGGCAATCTATCCCTTTGGAAATATAGTTTAAAGAGAAGCTTATTTTACCTGCTTTGACCACTAAAGAAACTCGGGTCACAGGTTCCAGCTTTGATTGCCTACATTATACCTCACCCTACAGCTTTCTGCATAATGTGAGAGTATATTACATAAACCACTGCAAAACAGTCAAAGCTGATTCCCTGGCAATGAGGACAGACCTGGTCTTAAAGGTAAGCTAATGCAACAGGGGGCAAATGCGTCTCTGTTTTCCTTCTCTATTCTCTTATCACCGTAAAGTCTTTAGGCTAGCATCCAAAAAGCTTTTCCCTGTGCAGCTTATGTGCTTTAGGCTTCAAGCCAGCAGACAAGCTTTCTACTGGCCTTAAGTTAGACAAGGCTGTATTCATCCATCCAGCCCTTTTTCCTCTCTTTATCTTTTTCTCACCATCTCCCCTACCTCCTTTCCTAACCTCCCCTTGCACTCTCTGAAGGCCTAACCTGTCAGTCACTTTAAATTCTTCTCGTGCAAATAATTAATATGGTTCCCAGATGTAGGAGCGTTCTAATTTGCAAGTGTTCTTCACGCTTGAAGTGGCCACAGGCCCAAGAGCTTGTAGCACCAATCCCCCCCATCATCTGAGACGGGGCGGCTGGTTGAGTTACAGCTGTGGGGGAAGCAAAGAACCCCAACAGGCTAATAAACACTGATGATGCTGGCTGGGCTTACAGGAACAATAATAATCTTCTCAACCTTGTTTACCTGCTAGGACAGGGCAGCAAAGGGGAAAGAACTGATCAGCCATGACAGCCTGTTTCACTGTTTATGGTTGTTAACAGGAAATGCAGTGTTTCCTACAAAAATCAGGCCTCTTTCGATGGTCATGCACAAGAAAATGGCCAGGATTACTAATTCAGGAGGTGAAAGATTTTAGGGCTTGCTATAGTTGGGTTCCTCTTTCGCAGCAAATAAACAGAAATATCGATATAAATCAAAGAACTATTTAACGTTTATATGGGGGTCTCTTAACTGAATTAAAAACATAAAACTGAAAATACCTTTATTTATGATTATTTAAATATTTAACAATTGAAGAAGCCACAACGTCAAACAGGAAAATGTTAACTTTACCAAACTATAAAATACATATTTGTTTAATATTTTTTCTGCATTACTTAAATTATTATTTATTTATCACTATTTATCTATTTATTGTCAATTTCGTTGCAGTACATCACTGGGTTTAATTGGTAATGATGAAGAATAAAAATATGCAAACATCTAAACTATATTACAATTATAACATATTAATGTTTGTGAATAAAAAACCCTTTAATGACATGTTTGCTTAACCATAGTTTAAATATCTGATTTATGCAGTTTCCGTTTTATATTAAAGACATTGTAGTCTTTTTATTTAATAAAAAATCGAATATATCAAAGAATAAATAACTTCAAAATCTGATTCAGGAACATCTTACTGGTTCCATATCATGAGTGTTGTTAAGAAGATTAACTTTTCATTCTGCATAATTCTGTTTTATATCATAAAGATCAAAGAAAAGAACTTCTGAAAAACTAAAGTGACACACAGAAAATGCAAAAAGCCTATTAGAGAAGGAGTTTACTCATCATTAAAATTAAAAGTAAACATTTTAAAATGGGCACCAATGTAATAGAGTCCAGTTCTGAGTAAAATGTTAAGCCCAGTTAGACTCACCTTCCCATCATTGCAGGTGTACACGGTTCTGGGTGAAGGCGAGTAACTTGAACTTGTGTTTGCTTCTTCCCTGCATGTCTCCTGGGCCTCAACTATAGGTTCCACCACTTCAGCCTTGATTGTCTGAGTGCCATTGTCATGCATAGGCTCTAGGAGACAAAGGTGACATTCAACATTACAGAGACAGTAACTGGACCCTCATCTCCCACTGAATCAGCCATTTACCGATGCTCAGTACAATCGTTAAATATAAACATACAAACTTTGTTTAAGTTGTTTGTTTTTTATATCCTGGAACAGTGTTAATGGTATGTTTGCTCCCTGCTTTAGGTCAGGGCTTCCCCATGGCCTGCGACAGTAACTAAGCTGTTCTGGTAGCTGGCCACACTAAGCTCTAGTGCAGCTGATGAGTTTTAATATCGGTCAGCGATGCACTCTATTCCCAGACTGATGGACTCCCAGGGTGCTCTAATCTCTAGTCAGTCCATTAGATGAACTAACCAGCATTTAGGCTCCTTTATTTGCATCTAAAAATCAACGTTTGCTGAGGTTCAAGTTTGGACATGGCTTTTTGACATTCTTAGCCTTTTGTTACATTTATTTGGGTGAAATATCTCAATATTCCACTAGTTTTAAATGACTTAATTAGTATAAAACACAGAATCAAGGAGGAATCTGTCTTTTAATTTATTTTTTACCATCAGCCAAATGTTACACCCAATCCAGCTGAAAGAATCATATTGCTGAAGTCCCAGCTTGATAACTAGAGTATTCCTTATGAATGTTCTGTAGCAAATAGTTGATTCACAGAAATAATGAAGATATTTTTGTTGTTCTAAAATATAAGCCTCAATAAAAATCTTAATCGATTATTTTTTATGTATTTTGACAGTCTCTGTAAACGTGTTTATCTAACAGACTGATCTCTTAATGCACCCATTTATTTTTGCATGAGCCAATTTAAGCTTTTATCTGAAAGCTCTGCAGTTTGTCACCTTCGGCAGTTTGCCATGGTATTTCTTGCAGGGATTTCTCTCTGTTCAAATAAAAGAAAACTTTCTATGGGTATAAATAATTTTGAGCTTAACTGTATGTCCTGCATCTGTGTTGATGGTAGATGGGTCAAGAAAACTTAAAAATGATGCAGAGATACGAGCACACAAAAAGATTCTAATTATAATCACTGAAAAAAAAGCCCCTATTCTAAAATCATTATTTCTTTTAAAAGGCCATTTTCTTCTGGTCCTTTATGAATAACTTGCTAATGTTCTCCTCCTATTTGTGCATCGAAAGCATCAATTTGTAAGTCCCCTAATTTGACTTTTATCAGCAGACTTCTAGAACAACTCAACTCCAAATACTTTAATTATTCGTCTTTAAAGTCAGCACAAAGTTGTAAAAAAAAAAAAAAAATCCTAGCAATATAATTCTCTGAGTTTGATTGACAATAATTCACAATTCAATATAATTGCTTTGGTATAATAACTGTAACTTTACTGATAAGGTCATAAATCATCTGAGTACCACAGGTTGCAGAGGGTTGTGTGTTGGAGTGCATTCTCCTGTTCTCTCACCGCTGCCCAGTCTCATGAGGAGTACATCCTGCAGCCTCCTGTTGAAGTCTCTCAGTTCTTTAACTTCTGTCAGCAAGCTGCCGTATTCTTTTAGCTTCTTGGCCTGCTGCACCAGCTGTCTGCGGGTTCTCTCCAGCTCCTGCTGCAGTCTCCTCATCTCCTCCTCCTGTTGCCTGTAGCTGTGAACCAGCTCCTCATACAAAACCCTTGGAACAACGGCCGCCACGACCTCTGACACACAATGCGTGTCCACCTCCAAATGTTGCTGCTGATGATGATGACGTTGCCCATGCTCTGCCTCCATTTCTTCCTCTTCATCATCTGCATCCTCTCCCTCCTCCGCCAACCGGTCCTCATCCAAGTCCTCCTCACCTTCCATATAGGAATTGGCTGCATTTCTCTCAAGGCGAGCCACTACTGCTGCAAGGCTCTTAGAGGAGTTAGAGAGAGGCTTCCCATGGTCATGAGACAGGGCCTAAACAAAATGACATGTTAGGAAAGGCTTTGGGCAGATGCATGACAACAAAGCTATGACCATAAAAGAAATCATGCTGACAATTGCAGTTCTACTGTAACTCTCAAACAGACAGTGTGGTTTTTGACAGCCATCTTAGATTTAGCCTTAGTCTTCAGGACGAAAACCATTATTAGCCTTAGTCCCATTTCAGTCATTATGATATGTGATAGTTTTAGTCTTAAAAAGGTTTTAGTCTAGTTTTAGTAGTGTTGCAAAAAAGTTAACCTTTACCATTTTGAATAACAACCAGATTCTTTACCAGACTGACAGCTCTTGCCTAGATAATATAATTGCTGGGTATAGAATGCTGCCATGCAGTTCATCATCGCTGTTGGGCAGAAAACTTTGATTTATATAATTCAAATAAGCTTTTTTTCTTTTTATTAATGCCCCACTTCATAAAAAAGTCTCACAAAAGTTGTGAAAATAGCAGATCTAATTCAACACATCATATTGGTTAATACAGCAGACAGACAAGCTAATAATTGTACAATAAAGGAACGGTTTTGGACAAACAAGGTTTCCAACTCAAAGCAAACACTTCCTGATCTGCTATGAATTATGCATTACACACAGATCAATAAAATCTTTATTACTCCAAAAAGGCAAAGAACCAAAACATTATTCTTCATACTTTGGCAATTTTGGCTTTATTTCTTTTTACCCCTTGGTTACTGCTGCTCAGGGGTCAAAGTAGATTTCAATTCACAGGGTTTTGATTAAAAACCCTGTGAATCAGAGAGAACCTACATAATTGCCTTGTAATGCCATGCCAATCCAGAGGAAAAAAGGAAACATTAATATCATATTTAAATAGATAGAAACGAGAACAATGAGAGAGAAATATTCAAAGATCTATGTACCTTTTCACCTGGCTCTTTATCCAAAAATAAACAGTATGCAATGAAATATTTTATTTGGATATAACTTAGGGATTCCTTTTGGTAGAAATTAAAGAAGGATAAGTATCACCTTTCATAAGCAGCAAAAATAAAATATTGATAGTAAAGGGATTTTTTTATGCTTGGCAGAGGATGATCAGCCAGATAGTTTATTAAGTAGCGAGAGCAGGAATAGCCATACTGCCGAGAGTGAAACATCAGAGAGGAACGTGAAGCACAGACTCAGAGCTAAGCGTGCAAAGACACATTTCTGCAAAAATACAGCTAGAAGAACAGAGTTTGTCAGTGTTGAGTGTGCAGTACCAGAATGATTCCGGGTTATTTTCACAGACCCTGCCGCTGCTGCCATTATCCATCTGTGGTCATGCAGAATGTGTAGTGCTGCACGCCCGATGGGCGGCAGGATCTAACAAGACGCAGTAGCACGGCTGATATTGCTTAGCAAATCACAGCACAATGATGCAGTTTAAATGTCTTGCCGACCATCCGCTAATTTTTATTTAGTCTCATGTCGTCGACTCAAATTCAAACCTAGGAATAGTTATGTTTTAGTCATCAAAGATCCACGTTTAGCTCATCGGGTTTTTTTAAACCTCATGAAAAAAAAGGAATGTCAACAAAATTATTTTTTCATCTCATCGTTGAAAAAAAACAACACTGTAAACAGATATTGGCATATATGTCCTCTAATATAAGGATGGCATGGCATGGTTTCTAAAAAAAAAGCACCCAAAAAACTGAGATTACAATTGAATGGTGTATGTTTTTGAGGAAAGTTTCAATTGGGGCTGGGCATATGATTTAAAAGTCTTAATTTATGCTTTTTTTCCCTACCAAATCCAATTAATCGATTTTTTTCAGTTATGTTTTTACTAAAAATATCTTATATTGCTATCAGAAGCAGCTTCGATTTCATTCATCCCTTCTGGGAGGTAACCTTAATTTCAAATGGTAACTAAAAACACAGTAAATGTTTGCAGCTAATAGTATCACACAGTGTATCATATGAGGAGACATCCAAGAAACAAAAGTGAAGAACTGATGTTTCCCTGAGCTATGGAGGCCCAAAGGGTGTATTGATGAAAAAGAAATCCACATTTTTCAGAACTTAAATCTTCATAAACAAAATATTTGATTAATCAATAGAAACTGACTAATCATCCAGGCCTATTATCAATTACGATTAACCCAGATTTTCATCCTTTTCCATCATTGTGATGTCCACACCTCTCTCCATGTGCTTAAGCATTCTAGTGACCAAACTGTGAATCAGGTCTGGAAAGTGAAAGTCAAACCAAGTTGTTACTATATTGTTGGAATGCTTTGGACTTAAGCTTTCTAGCCTTCCAAATACTGTTGCAATATAGCACACAGTGACTTAAATATACATTTCTGCATCAGGAAATAAGTCACAAAACAACTGGGAATGAAGTATAGAATTCAAGAAGCTATGTTCCAAGAAGTTTCTTAGCAGTTAGCGAAACAATACCAGAAAGTAAATGAGAACATAAATTTTGTCCTTTCCAAAATACCACAAACATATTAGATTAACAACATTTGTTAAATAGTATTAGCCAATAAAACAATGTAAATATAATATTTCCTACAAACTGACAACTATTCTAGTTATCGGCCATGGCATAAGGGCATTCAACTATTTTTTGAATTGATTTTCCAAAAATATGTTTAATAATTTTTGCTTAAGAGGATTCAAAAACAAACAAAAAAAAACAACCCAAAAAAAACACATTCAATCTATGCAGGGGTATGGCAGTGACTACAATCAATTTGTTTGACCATGCACATCTCAGTAAGACCAGAGGATAGGAGTCATAGAGTTCTCTGATGAGCTGCTCAGCGGATTTGCCGGTGAAAGGGCAGCTGTCCAGAGTGCTGAATTTGTGTTAATCCAGCATATGGTAAAAATAGCGAAGGGGATTTTGGAAGTCAGCCAACTTTATGAAAAGGTGATATTAAATCATGAAAGGACAACTAACGGAAATAAGACAAGAGGTGTATACATGGCAAGGAAAATACACAGTTAAACATCAGCCCTATAATAACTATTAAATGGGCCACTACTTGGTAAAGGATGCATGATTTTAAGGTTTAGATTAGATTTACAAGTGTGTGATTAAAGGACAATAAGACTGTGATTTTTTTCAATAAGGAGTAGTTTGTATTTTCTGTTATAAATGAGTTAGTATTTTACAAAAACAGGTGTTCAGCCTACCTTTTTATGCCTCAGTGGTAATCTCTCCTCTCCAAAATTATTCTCGATAGACTTTCCTGAATTCCTGATGGACATCTTGGGAATTTTCATCTTCTTTTGTGTAATACTATCTTCAAATTCATCTACTGTATCTGTAAAACCATTAAGCAGAAACACACGTATTAATAATAGAAGCTGGAAACAGTGTGTAAAAAAATCCAAACGTTATTTTGTCCCCACTAAGCTAACTTTAGCACTATTTAAAAGGGGAAGCTTTCCGGCAGACTGCGGTAAACTTTGACATTGTAACATCTCACAGCCCAGACGGTTCACTCTCAGGATTAAGAGTGCAGCTAAACTGCTAATGCAAATGGAAACAAATATTTCCACCACAGCGGGACACGGTTTCGCTTCCACTGATCTGTTATTTATCCTTACATTTCCGAACTGCAAGGACGTTGAAATGTTAACTGACACGGAAATGGCTGCAACATCGCAAATGTAGCCCAAAGCTACACAGAAGCTAACTGGCTAACCGACTTATAAATGCTCTCAGGCTAAAGCTGCAATAATACACCGCGGCTCTTCTAAATAACAAATAAAAGAATTCACTGTTGACATGATGACAATCCTATATCCACTTTGTATGCGTCTCGTCGTTAGCATGCTAACGTCAGCTAGCATCGTTAGCTTCTAGGTGTAAACAATCACTTTTGCTCGTCATTGATAAAGGCTACGCGTATAAACCACAAACTCCCCATGGCTGATTGATGTCGAGATATTATCAGAATGAGAGGCTGCACTAATAAATATAAAAAAACATGAAGCACCTACAAGCTACATCAGTAACCTAAAGTTAGCAAACATTGCTAGCATTGCTAGCGGAGGACGTTGCTGTCAGATTCCAGCTGATCACGTCTGACGGATCCACCGAAAACACCCGCGTTGACAGCTCCTCTATGCTACACGCACAGGAACGGTCGCTTTTCCGGCGGATGATATTATAGTTTAAAGCGGTGTTTTCCGCGTTTTAAGACGAGTAGCTTACCTGCAAGGGCAAGGATCTGTGCTTCGCACGGCTGGCCTGCGCAGCCATTCTCTCCAGCTCTGTGAACCAGATACACCTTCTGATGATCAAAATCAGTTCTTTGCAGAGGTCTGAAATCTTCGATGGCTGAAACGGGTAATGCGTAGCACATGTCGTCTTCAAAAAATCTAACAAAAGCATACATTATTTAGATGTCTTTGGTCCTGCACTTTGGATATGGTTGACAGTTTTTCCCCCACAAAGTATTAAAAAAATATACTCATGGGGGGGTTGGGGGATTGTTTCTGCGCTCGGCTACTCTTGACTGGTCCACATCAGCAGTGTATCATCAAGGCAAAACTAGTAGAAATCGCTTTAACCTGATCTACTTTATGTTTAGATTTGTATAGTGTCAAATGTATTTCTACAGTTTTAATTCTTAAACACTGCATGCTGGACTCAAATCTGAGTATTGGACCATATGGAATATAAGGAATGCTACTATTTCAAAAACTGTTTCATGTGCATAAAAAAAATAAATAAATAAAAAAGGGAAGATTTAATTGTCTTTTTATGTTTTTGCAATGGGATTTTCATATCAGAAACCAGCTCCAAAAAACAAGTGGATTATTACATTTTCAATAAAAAAAAAAAAAAAATCAAATGATCAATTTATCTGTCTGTTTTTATCAAATTAAATCATAAGATGGTTGGTGAGGTAAAATATATTTTAAATTGTGTTTAATCTGTCTGTTCTTATCATATCATAGGATGATAAGTGAGTTATAGTATATATCTTAAATAATTTAGTAAAAAGTGTGCGCATTTTCATTTTTTTATATAATGGACTGGGTGATACAGTGAAAAGCTTTGGTTGATTATACTTTTAGTTATGTGCCCCCTGCAATTTTTTTCCACTAACTGAAATGAAACACTGTAGTAAACAGATAAATGGAGGCAGAAGATGTCTTTCAGTCTTCAATGCACACATTCAGCGACACACAGGAGCTCTTTCAAGCTGGGCACCGTTTCATTCACAACACCTGTCCCATCAATGAGGAATCAGAATCAGAAATACTTTAATAATCCCAGGGCACAAATTGCTTTCCTTAAATTACTCCATCTGTAATAGAGTGACTATAAGAACAGTTTGATAACACAATTTCATACAATATATATAATTAGGGGGTCCCTGGTCCATCTCGCCATCAGTTTGGGTGTCCTTGGTCTGGAAAACTTTGAAGACCCCTTGCCCTATATAATCCATACTTTGAAAGTGTCCATTTTAATTAACTAAAAATATGCTAAATCTGATTCAAAGCAATACAAAATTGCATACAAGATGTCTCAGTAAAGAAGTGTGGCATTTAATAAGAAACCGGCAACAATTTTGATAAAATGTCCCCTCCAAACATCTTAAACAATTTCAGTGGTCTGGAGGGACATTTCAGGCTGAAGAGTCATTAAAAATAATCGATCTGGACACCAATTACCTCTCGGTTTGTCTTCTAAGGAAACAGCTTCATGGAACTTGCGGAAGAAAAGTCCTCGGGATGATTACCTGCCCAGTTAGATGTGATCGGTCCCTGTGTGCACTCATGTGATCTCTGCTTCTCATCTGTTCCTTGTAAAACACTTATAGACATCAGACAGAAACGAACTCTTTGTTATTGTAAGCCAGGTGGTTTCTACAACAGGATGGATTTCTCAGTTGTTACTCTAATAGAGGGCACCACAGTCGATAAATGACACTAACAATTTCGTTCCGCTTCGGCTGCTGTAATTGAAAATTAACTGATGCAGAACAATACAGAGCTTTTTTCCCCCTTTCTTTAAAATGTTTTGTAGTTTCAGGCATTTATATAGTTATGATTATTCATCTTTCAAATGCCAACTTCCTCATGATGTTTGTTCAGTGTGCTGTGTAACTGGTCTTAGAGTCACATATACAAGATAGTTTAAAAACAAACAAAAATGTCGACTAAATAAAAAAATGTGTTATTTATACTTTAAAGGCTGTTTGAGTTGTAATCATTCCTTTGAAGTTTTAGTGCTGAAAATTGATCATATTATAATATGACCACAAAGAAGGCTTACATATATATACATACACACACACACACACATACACACACACACACACACACACATATATATATATATATATATATAAACATACATACATATATATATATATATATATATATATATAAACATACATACATATATATACAGAAAATTGTTAATCCATATGCATTTTAATCTTCATTATACCCAGCTGACTATATGAGGAAGGAGAGTGATAGACAAGAGATCGGAGACGTTTCTCCACAATCCACACAGAGGATTACTGCTAATCTGAGCCTTTGTTCAATGGCTTTTCTGTCCTCAAAGCTGGGCTTGTCAACATAAGGCTCCTCAGCTTCAGATGCTTTCTTGTCTTAAGTGGTCATGGTTTACATAAGGAACACCTGTCTATTTTAATGTTTGATGTTGGGTTTTTAGTCGAATCCAAATAAATAAAACCAAATGCAGTTATTACTTTGATGGAAGTTTTCCTTAAAAGCCTAATTAGTTCCTGCGCAGTTTCTGATTATATGCACAATATATATCTGTACCTGCCAAAGAAAATTATCTAACAGATAAACATTATACAAAACACGTTATATTTTCCTCTTAAACTGACCTGTAATAAAGCAGTTTTTAAACAACTTTTAATGTAAAAACTAGACAGAGAAAAACTAGAATCAGAAGTTATTACTGATCAACCTTTATGTAGTATAGGCAGTTGTGTATTTCTCACAGCTAAGATAACCACAGCTGTAAAGTCATCTTAAGCACTAATGTTTGTTTGCAAAACAAATGATCACAAACATAGCAGGAGTTAATCTTAGGGCATATACATATATGTTATACATATATAACATATATTTGTTAAATTAAAGATGTGTCTTGTTCATAGATTCAACAAAATTAGCCAAGATGGAATTTGCTATAAACAGGAAATATATAAATAGACTAATTGAATGTGAATTTTTAGCTAAAAAATAAATTTTTAAGTATATCTTTTTATTAAATAAAAGGCAAAGTCCACTTTTACGGGACTTCAGGTCAATCAAATCATACTAGTCTAATGTCTGAGACTGTAAATAGGATGACGTAAAGATACACTTTTATTATTGACAATAAGGTATTTATTGCATACCTGTAGAATTACGGAACTTATTTGATATATTTTTTAAGGGGTATAGTATAAAATGTAACCCAATCTAAAGAGGACAAAATCTTGTGAGTTACATGAGTCTGTTTAATTAAAACTCCTATTCTTTAAAAATAAAAAAAGCTCTGAATAAAAAAAAAAAAAAAAACAATCCCAGAGGAGGTAATGTTCTTTCACAGTACCATCTACATCACTGCAAACAATGTAACATAAAATACAACACAAAATAAAATAGCAATTAAGAGCAAAAGAAACAAAGTCAAATTGGAAGGCATATAGCTATGCCATTCAAATAGAGAATCTAAGACAGAGCAGTAAACAATAAGAACAAAGTAGTTTACAGACAGGCAGGGGCGGATCTAGAAAAATATTTATGGGGTGGCAAGAGGGGGCAGGAATTTTTTAGGGGTGGCAACATATGGCATTTGTTTACACTGAATTTAATCACAGTTATCACAGTTTGGTGAGAATAGTATGTACAGTACTAGTGTTTCATGTGAAACAGTTCATATTAATAATACATCGTACAATGTGATCTCACCTAATAGGATATAGAAGAATGATAACACTACTTCTAGAGGGGCCTTATGACAGGAAAGGTATTAAGGTAAGACACAGGTGCTGAGTCGCAGATGTGAGAGATTGACTGTCAGAGAGGCAGCTTTGCAGCATTTGACCAAGAAGAAACTATAGAAAGAAAAAGTTACCCATCAGAGATCTATGGACTGAGCTGGAATAAAGTGAGCAGAACTACACAGTAGAAATAAATGGGTCAAGGCACCCGAACAAGGTACTGAACATCTATGTAATGTTTACTCTGAACACACATTTACCACATTTGTTCCTCAGTAACTTGACATACAGCAGTTAAGGCAACATGAAAGGGACATTTCATGCATGTAGATATGCTGTAGATAGAGCTGTATATGGAGGACCAACTCTGCCATATTTAAAAATAAATACAGAAATAAATAAATGCTCAATAAATAAATAAGCATACAATTAATTGCCACCAAAAATACAATCAACAAATAAATGTAATTAGAAATTATATTATAATGGCAGGCAGAAATGTAAACAGGGCAGGCAGAAAGAAATAGCGGCAAAGAAATAACTAGGGTAAAAAAATACAAAGGAAGAATAAAACAGACAAAAATATGATAACATGCACATAAATAAATACTTAAAAATATAAGTAATTAAAAAATGAAGTTGAAGATAGTAAATGACAAAAAAATAAATAAGGTAAATATTAAAAAGGCAAAGAAATAAAAACAGTTATATACCTTTATGACTAGCTGTATAATTTAATTTCTACTTACATTTATTTGTTGTTTGTATTTTTGGTGGCAATTAATTGTATGCTTATTTATTTATTAAGCATTTATTTATTTCTGTATTTATTTTTAAATATGGCAGAGTTGGTCCTCCATACTGCTGTATCAACAAATCAACAAAAAGGCGGGTTCTGTATGTTACATCAAAATCTCCACAAATCTGAAAAGAAGCAACATAAAAATACATTTTGCTTGTGAGTAGGTTCATACGGGTCATTTCTGGATAGTTTCATATTATATATTCAAAAAAAGAAACAACAACACTGCTTCATATTAAGCAGGATTCACACCAGTATCACATTTTTAACTTTTAACACTTTTGGTTTTTTTAAAGGAAATGTCAGATTTTCTCAGGTGCCAAAACAAAATGTAACAGCTCTGTAAAGGCTCACCAGAGAGCATAACATAAAGTTAACATGACTATAACAGCTGAATGCAGTGATTTCCATGTTGCTCAGCAAAACGCTTCACAACTTTATTTAGATCCAATGTCTTTGTGCGTTTTGATTTGAGTACAACCAAACTTGATCGTCTCTTTTCTGTCATAGTTGACCGCAAATATGTCTTTATGAGCCTGAGACGTCAGGCCTAACTAACATCATAGATAGAGAAATAACGGCAACCTGATTTTTATCATCTCAAAATCAGCATTGCAGCTATGCTAGCAACATTGTGCTTTCATTATGATTTAATTTCCAGATAGATAGTTAGTCAGTTTTTACCTGTTTCATCCTGTGTCTCCTCTCCCCATGACCCC